GCGTCACTTTCACCTACACTTAAAAGGGTCGAAGCTCGGGTATAAAATTCAAGATGAAATGAACTTATTAGAAAAAAAAATCTGAAAATCACTGAAAACACACATTCGTACAACTATTTACTAAAAAAATATTCAAAGATAAGTAAAGATAAAAAAATTTAGACCTAAACTTACAACTTTTGTTTAAAAAGAAAACTGATAACCGATTATGGCTTGACTCTCTTGTGTCTCCAGTAGTGTCGCCAAGATGTCACAAAGGTCCTTCAAGTGGTCTGGTATTACGTCTTGACTTAAATAAAGTGATGGAGTCACCACCAACCTTCTTGAGTTAAGTAGGTCGAATACTTAATACTTACCCATTTATCGGATCTATGTTTTATTGGATATTTGTCGAATCAAGGAATTGATTACAAACGAGGAAGGATGAACACCCTCTTATTTCCCTTTTGGTGCAACTCAATTAAAGGTTGTCTAATCACGAAATTTGAAATATAGGCAAAAAAATTGAAAGAATCAATCCAATTTATTTACCTTTTAGAGAATTTTTTTTATCGAAAATCAGTAAACTTTTAGAATATTAAAATAATGTTTGACCTAATAAAAATGCTGAAAAATATGTATAATGATAAAGACAACAATAAATGATAAAATAAATATTAGGCAAATAAATATTAATTTTATTTATGAGGGATTAGATTAAAAAGAAATGAAAAAAAGGGCTCAAATTAGAAGCAATCCAAAATCAATACAGAAAAAAGGACTATAATTAAAGTTATACAAATCAAGTGGAAGATGGACATAATTTACCTAAATTCTAAAACACCCTCATTTTACATCTGTAACAAAAAAAGAAAAAAAAAGAGTTCTCAAATCCTTTTCCCTCCCCTAATAACCGACCACTTCTCTGACGAGCCTCCACCGCTTAGCCACTGCTCTGGTCACCACCCATGATGGTCGGAGACCTAAAAACTAACCCTTTTGATTTCTCTCAACATCTCGAAGCCAAATCTACCAACTAAATCCCCAAAAGAACAACCCCTCGATGTAGATCTCAAAGAAGAGGTCATGATTTTTACATTTTTCTTATGACCTGTCGACTCTTCAACGACCGTTCGTCTTCCAAGAGAGCCAATGCAAAGTTGTCTTTTTTTTTTCGATTTTATGGTGATTTTGTTATGGGTATTTCGAAAGGTTGAAAACTTATATTCTTTTCCTCATTTTGCAGGAGTTTATATAGTGCTTGGAGGACATTTCTCCCTTCTTCAATCCCCGATTTTTATTGATAAAAGATTTCATTTTTTTTGCTTGATTTGGTTTTCATATTAAAGCGAAAAAGGATATATTTCCTTTTTGTTTTCTGGTTTGATTATGGTTGCCTATTTCATTGAGATTCAGTCACTGTTTTGGAAAGATTGGGTTAACTTTGCATGTTTTGGAAAGATTTTATAATTTTTCTTGTCCAAAAAGTGCGATTAAAAAAATGGTGATGGTACTTTGATCAACGCGTATTAGCACGTAAGAGGTTAGGGTGTCAACGCATGGTCCTCATGCACCGTGGATCGTACGGTCGGGGTGGCATTATGGATCTTGATGTGTTTCTGTCGTTTGATCATAGAGTCAGATCCAACGACTATTGTTCAACTGCGCAATAATATATTTTGTAGGGTTTTGAAACCATATTCTTCCATCATCTAGACCGTTAGATCATTGCTTGATCTAACAGTTATAAAACCGACAATGTTATGGCTAATGTTAAAAACATAGCTTCACTAGATCTTGGATGAACGAGCCTCATTGTTGTTCTTGGCAAATTGGCTTGTTGGGTCAGACAAGCTTGTTTGCTGGACTTCTCTTAGACCTTAATGGGACTTTTGAATTGGACATGAACTTGGACTGCATAATAAAATTGTATTAATAATAATATAAATAAAAATATTATAATACCTATAGACTGCTGTAGTTACATATTATTATAATATATATACTATATATTAATAATATAATATAAAATATAAATACTATATATATATATATATATATATATATATATATATATATATATATATATATATATACGGTGCAACTAAATATATATATATATAATATAAACACTATAAATATTACTATTTATAAATAATATCTATATATACATAATAACTGTACTATATACTAATATTAATATTAAAAAATATTCGAAATGATCCCGAACGAAAATATGTGCTTACCCAGTTATGAAATAAGGTGTGGGCCAATGACGTTCCTCCAAATGAGTGCAATAAACTAATGTCGAGCAATCTTAGTGTCCAAAAACAATTTGTGTTATATTATTCTCCATATTCTGATTGATTGTTACACTTTATTTATCACCATTAACTTTCTCTACAAAAGCACTGTTACACATGCATCCTCGAGCTTGGTCGGATTGTAAGCTTAAGTGCCCCCAATCATTTTTTTCGTTTCTTTTCGTTTAGTATAGAGAGAGAAAGATGAAGAACATGGATAGCAATTGGTGTAATCGTTGAACAAAACAAAAGCTTCTTTCGGAGAACAATGATGCTCAATCATAGCACCCAACGAAGTCAACCGTACCCAATTTTTACCTACTTTTTTTTCATGCAAAAGAAAGGTTGAAAAACTACAAAGAAATTTTAAAAGATAAGGAAATTGTAAAAAAAAAAGAAATTATTGATGGAAAAAATTGGTATTATCGTCGGTAGTCCGTGGTTCATCCCTTATAATTTAAATGGAGAGTCATAATTAATGAAACATCGATCATTGGTCAATATTTTTCTACGGGGGTGGGGTGTGGGGGAGGAGAGAAATCACATGAGAAGAAGACATATGATATAAATTCAGTCTGAAAGGGAGAAGATCCCCTCATTCACTCTTTTCTCGAGGTATAAATATCCTTGTTATAGGTTGGTTGTTTCATGCCTATGATGACGATAGCTGTCAAGTTTATCCTTAAGAAATTATGTGAAGTTGTCAAAGGTCTAATCATGGGGTTGCCTTCATCGAGCGAGTACAAGACATTGAATAGATAGTCGACGACGATTTTGTTTTCGAAAAACGTCTCTGAAGATACAATAGTTGTTTCCCTTTAATCGATATTTATAATCACGTAGATAATAACTTCATATTGTTTGGTCAATTTTACATGATTTTAATTAGTATAATAATAAATTTAACTTTTAACACTTATAAATTACATTAAATAAATTTTAATTTAAAAAATAATAAATTTATTTGTAATACCCCGAATCTCGCATCAATAATGCGAGCCAATCCGAGATCCTTAGGTCAAGCCAGTTAGACCTCCTAAGATGGTTTGGACCAGTTTATAATAGTATTGGGCTAAAGGTAGGCCAAAGAGTTGAGGTAAGTGATGGTTTTAGGTTGGGTAAAAAGGAGAGGACCAAAAGTGTAGTTTACCCATAGTTGTTTTAAAGGTTAAAAACCCCTTAACCCGAGCCATTTCCCCAAAAGTATCTTCCTATTTTATTCTTCTTTAGACTATTTTTCTCAATATCTTTTCCCTAGTAAAGATCAAAGTTTTAAGTAACATTTATAAATTACATTAAATAAATTTTAATTTAGAAAATAATAAATTTATTTGTAATACCCCGAATCTCGCGTCAATAATGCGAGCCAATCCGAGATCCTTAGGTCAAGCCAGTTAGACCTCCTAAGATGGTTTGGACCAGTTTATAATAGTATTGGGCTAAAGGTAGGCCAAAGAGTTGAGGTAAGTGATGGTTTTAGGTTGGGGTAAAAAGGAGAGGACCAAAAGTGTAGTTTACCCATAGTTGTTTTAAAGGTTAAAAACCCCTTAACCCGAGCCATTTCCCCAAAAGTATCTTCCTATTTTATTCTTCTTTAGACTATTTTTCTCAATATCTTTTCCCTAGTAAAGATCAAAGTTTTAAGGAATCCCAAGCCTAGATTGAAGAAACCAAGGTAAGAATCTTAATCTCTATCCCTTAAGCTTCATTTCAATCCTCAAATCTAAGGTTTTGGGTAAAGTTTGAGAAAATGGATTTTTGGGAGTAGAAAGAAATCAAATGTTTTAAGATTGTTTTTGGGTGTATTTGAGTTATAGGAGTTGTATTTGAGCTTAATCCAACCTCTATTGAGTAGAATCCATTTCCTTGGTTTGGTTTAGTTAAAGAGGTGGAAGAGAGTTTCAAGGCTAGAAATGAAGGAAAAATGATTCTTAGCTGATTCGAGAGAAGTACTAGCAACCAAGAAGGCTAGGTAACACACCCACAACTTCCCCATATCAATTGTGGGTAATTAGAAATGAGTTTTAGCTTGAGAGTTATGGTTGAAGCTTGTTTTCATGGTAGATTTTAGCATTTGGTATTATTTAACTTGTTTAAATCCTCTTTATGACCCATTCTATCATGTTTAAACTTATATTGATTAATTGGAAATATTGGAATAGTTTTGTGAGGGTTTGAAAGTGTTTAAAAGGGTAAAAATTTAAAGTTGTAAAAGAAGTTTCGAAACACCTATTGCTGGTTTCAAAACCTTTTGTCTAAAATGTAATTTAAGGAAAAGGTTTTGAAACCTTTATAGTAGGTTTCAAAACCCCCTACCCAGACCTTATAGTAGAAAACCTACTATAGAGGTTTTAAAACCCTACCTGATTTTGGCCAAATAGGCCTAGAAAGGTACATGGATGGCTGTGGACTTATAGTATGCTTTTAATTAGGATAATTTCTAATAAAATGATAAGTGATAACGAAATAATGCTAATTGTAACTAGAAATGAGATAAATTAGGGTGACATAAAATTAGCCTTGTTTGATGATCGAAAACAATTCGGATACCCGAGTTCTTTTAGAAAAGTTACTGGAGTTGAAAGTATAGATTCAGTCTGGATATATCCTTTGGGAGTGCGCAAGACACTTTACGCTGACTAACTAATGCCAAGGCTTGACACTCACAAGGGATAGGTTAGTCGAGGGTGTGGTGTTTGATGCAGAGATTTTGCATGCCCCATTCTCGGTAGACTAGAGGGGCGTGTGAGCTCGAGATGCAAAACCCTCAGCTGCATGATGTTGTCCACCATAGAGTAGAGAGTAATGCAGTTATAGTTTGAGCCTTTCAGTGATGCACTTTTAATATGAACTAGTTGTTAGTGTGGCACTAAGCTAGTTAGCCCAGCCTTTGGATGTTTCCATTGGCAAGTTAGTAGTTTGTCCAGTTTGAGAATATCTAGAGGGACCAAGGTCCAAATCTAGTGCAGAGCAGAGTATGTCATCAAGTACAACTTTGATGTATTATTGAGTCGTAAAGTCAGTAAAGAGTCGATATGTATTATTTCAAAATGTATATATTTATTTTGAGAGCTCTCATATGTAAAGTTTAAAGTATATTTCATTTCATGGATGTTTTTATATTAAGAAAAATGACTTTTTAAAGTACAAGAAATAAATAAAGAGTTGGTCAGCCACTATGGTGGTTCCATGTGGCATTCTAAATCGGTCATCTGTGTGACGTATTGGTTTAGGGTGTTATATTTAGTGGTATTAGAGCAAGGTTTAGGCATTCTTAGGGCCCGTGGGTCAGTGTTAGTAAAGAGTTTATGAGTATACATGGCATAGAGTTATGTTGTACTTCTGCATATTAATTAGTAGAGAGCTCAGGCCACAGTAGAGAGGGTAGACGTGAGAGTAGAGCTTCTCTAGCTGCTGAATTTTGATGATGTGAGTTTAAGGTGTAAGTTCAATGGATTAAGCTTAGGAAAAAAGACGAGACTAAGATAATGTTGTTTCATGAGAAGTCCAGGGTTTGAGGATCGTGTCAACCATTAGGGAACTGAAGGTTTCTCTAGTGAAAGTTTTATGGAGGAGTATTAGATCAGAGTTAAGCAACAGAAAAACAGAGGTCAACTTTAGTAGAAGTGTTGGAAAGTGCCATAAGGCCCCAGAGTTGTCTTTTCCCAGTAGATAAAAAAGGTTATAAGGTTGTGAGCTTAAGATAGAGTTCGAATGTCCAGCCCTAATTGATTAGCATTCAACCCTTCGAATTAGATGTTCTAGTAGTTAAGATCTGTCGTAGATGCCCAATAGAGTTCAGAGGAAATCTTTCTCTAGGGAAATTTTGGGGATGAAATTTCTTGTTAGGAGGGGAAAGTTGTAATACTCGGAATCCTGGGTCAGTAGTTCAGGTCAACTCGATATCCTTAGGTAAAGTCAATTTGATCTCCTAAGATGGTTTGGACTAGTTTGTGAGAGTATTGGGCTAAAGGTAGGCGCAAGAGTTGAGGTAAATGATGGTTTTAAGTTGGGGTAAAAAGGAGATGACCAAAAGTGTAGTTTACCCATAGCCAGGTTTAAAGGTTAAAAACCCTTTAACCCAAGTGTTTTTCACGTGAGCCATTTCCCCAAAAATATATTCATATTCTCTTCTTCACTAGATTCTTCTTCTCATTTTCTTTTCCTTAGAAAAGATCAAAGTTTTAAGGAATCCCAAGCCTAGATTTATGAAACCAAGGTAAGAATTATAATCCACATCCCTTAAGCTTCATTTAAAGCCGAAATCATAGATTTTGGGTAAAGTTTAAGAAAATTAGGGTTTTGGGAGTAGAAAAAATCAAGTATTTTAAGCTTTGTTTTTGGTAGATTTGAGTTATAGGAGTTGTATTTGAGCTTAATCCAACCTCTAGGTGAGTACTAATCTATTTCCTTTCTTCGATTTAGTTAAAGAGGTGGGAGAGAAATTCAAGGCTAAAAATGAAAGAAAATTGATTCTTAGTTGATTTGAAAGAAGTACTAGCAGCCAAGAAAGCTAGGTAACACACTTACAACTTCCTAATATCAATTGTGGTCATTAGAAATGATTTGTATCTTGATAGTTGTGGTTGAAGCTTGTTGAGTTAGTTTCATTGTAGATTTTAGTATTTGCTGTTATTTAACTTGTTTAAATCCTCTTTATGACCAATTCTATCATGTTTAAACTTAGATTGGTGAATTAAAATATTGGAATGGTTTTGTGAGGGTTTGGAATTGTTTAAATTAGCAAATATTTGAAGTTGTAGAAGAAGTTTTGAAACCCCGTATGGCTGGTTTTAAAACCTTTTATCCAGAATGTAATTTCAAGCAAAGGTTTCAAAACCTCTACAAAAGGTTTCAGAACCTCCTAACTAGACCTTTACAGTAGGTTTGAAATCTCTACAGTAAATTTCAAGACCATTACATGATTTTCGCCAAATTTTCCTAGAAAGGTACACATATGGACGTGGAATTATAGTATGCTTTTAATTGTGATAATTTCTAATAAAACCATAAGAAGGAACGAAATAATGCAAATTAAACTAGAAACGAGATAAATTAGGATGATATAAAACTAGCCTTATTTGATGCTCGAGAAACGATTCGGACACCCAAGTTCCTTTAGAAAAGTTACCGGAGTTGAAGGTATAGATTCAATCCGAATATATCCTTAGAAAGTGCTCAAGACACTTAAAGCTGACTAACTAAGCTTGACACTTACAAGGGGTGGGATAGTCTAGGGTGTGGTGTTCGATGCAGAGATTCCAGGGGGCCCATCATCGGTAGACTAGAGGGGTGTGTGAGATGTGAGATCTAGAACCCTCAGCCACACCATGATGTCTACAATAGAGTAGAGAGTGAGTATACAAGTATACTCACTAAAGCAAAGCAGTATACTTGATAGCTTGATTATTTTAGTAAAGCACTTTTAGTATTACCTAGTTATTAATGTGGTACTAAGCTAGTTGCTTAGCCTTTGGGTGTTTCCGTTGGTAGGTTAGTAGTTCGTCCAATTTTAGAAGATCTAGAGGGATCGAGGTCCAGATCTAGTGCATAGAAGAGTACATCATCATATTTTTTAAAGGGCATGTATTTATAAACTCTGATGTATTATTGAGTCGTGAAGTCAGTAAAGAGTCGATATATATTTTTTCAAAATGTATATATTTATTTTGAGAGCTCTCAGATTTAAAGTTTAAAGTATATTTTATATCATGGATGTTTTTATAATACGAAAAAGTCATTTTAAAGTACAAGAAATGAGTAAAAAGTTGGTCAACCACTCTGGTGGTTTCGTATGGCATCCTAAATTGGTCGACTGTGTGTCGTACTGGTTTAGGATGTTATATTATCCCTCAACAACATTAACAATTTTTATCAATATGATTTGATTTTAAAAAATCTAAAATTTTAAAATTAATATTATAAAACATATTACACTATTATAAAAGTAATATTATAAAACTTATTGAATCTTAATCTCATACATTTGAATTTCTTTTAATACAATTTATATAAAAAAATAAAAACTAAATTAATATTTGTAACGCCTTGATTATCAGTCTAGTAGTTTTGTGTCGACCCATTAATTTATTTGATAGATTTATTAAAACACAAGAATTCTTTGGTTCGAATTTGAGTTTAATCGAGCAATAAATTAGCCTTATAAAAGATAAAAAGGATTTTAAGCTTAGAAAGAATATAAGAGGACCTAGATTTGTCCATTGAAGAAATACATGGTTGATTTGGGGGTGATTCTTTCTTTTTTTTAGCCCTGGGGTTTGTGATGAGCCAAAAAGGGCTTATTTCCTTCTTCATCTTCTCTTCTCTTTTGTCTTTATTTCTTCTCTTCATCTCCACTCAAGCAAGGAAAAAGAAAAAGGCTTCACCTTTCTTCATCTCTTTCTCCAATCTGATTTTCATGTGTTATAGTTGTTGTCTAACATCAAGCCTTCTTAATTTCATGTTGGAATCAATTGGTGGCTTTTGGGTGATGAAAGAATGGTGCAAGCCCCCCTAAAAAAGGGCAAGGAATTGATAATGTTGGTTTTTTGGAGTATCTAGAAAGGTAATTGGGTAGCTAGGAGTTGAGGTAACACACTATAACTCTTTTTTACTACTTGTATGTCATTTAGATGAGTGTGCTTGCTTGTATGGGGTAGGAAGATCATGTGGGGTTTGGGATTTTGATTTGTTATTATGGAAGTTTTGGATGTTATTCTAGTGTAAACATAATGTATAATGACCCCTTATAATTTCCATAAGCTTTAATAATCAACTTAGACATTAGAATAAGTGTTTGGGATGAGTTTGGGGATGTTTCCCGAGCAAAATAGTGTGTTTCTAGGTAATATTGTCGATATTGTATGAACAATATCAATATTGTTCATGTTCTGGGTGAAAATAGGGTTTTCTAGGCCTCGATATCAAACTGGATGAAATGGTATCGATACCAAAGGTTTTGGTATCGATACTAGAGTGTTGGTATTGATATCGAAGTGTTGGTATCCATACCGAATGAACTAGTATCCATACCAGAGTGTTGGTATCCATACTAAAGGCTTGGAAAAATACCCAAAGTGGTTCAGTAACTTAATGAAGTGAAATAGACTCAAGAGTGAGGAATTTAATATCGTTTGAGATCAGACATCTAGCTCGAGTGTGGGATGTCACTAAAATTCCCTTGGAGGCTAAAATTACCAAATTTCCCTTATAGGCCTGAGTGAATAAATGAACCTATATGAGTTACTTATGTATGACAAGAGTGTATCAATCGTCCTTCCAATTCAAGGGTGAATCGAGGGAAAGCATGATGCGAGTGACTAGAGTGTTCCCACTAATTTGTAAACTCGAGTTGAACTTCAGGCTAATAGATAATACCATAAGTGAATAATGGTAACACGTTTCTAACTTGTATATTCTACATCTAGCTCATTAGATGTGCATGATTGGCTAGTTGGGTTCATGAAGCATGTATAAGTAATTCATGGTAGATTTCATTTATGATGTTCTTCATTATGAAATGTGACTCCTTCAAACCCATAATAACCCCATAAAAGTTAAGTAACTCTTAAAGGCCTTGGTAAAACGAATTGGTAGAGTTAGATCATATTTTGGTGCCTAGAACATGGCATTTCTAGGTACGAGTATCGATATTAGAATAATAGTACTGATATTGTTCTTACAAGGGACAAAAATAAGAGAGTTTTCAAGAGTAGTGTCGAAACTCATTCATAGAGAGTAAATATTGAGGGCTCGATTTCGAGACTCGCATGAGGGGTATCTAGACCGAGATTCTAGTATGTATTTTTGGTATCAGTACTCAAGGGAGTAACAATACCAAGGGTAGAGTATCACTCCAGTAGGGTATTGATATTAACGCAATTGATTCAAGTGTCTATGCTCAGGGTGAGTATCGATACCCAAGGGTCAGTATCAATACTATGACGCACAGTATCGGTACCATCATCATGAGTTAGGAAAATAACCCATTTGATTCAAGTGTTTGGATAAGGGGGTTGTGAGGCCATAAAAGCCTTGTGATTATGAATACAAGTGAAAACAACCAAAGTAACTATAATTACAACTAGAAACAAAATAATTAGGATGATATAAGATTGACCTTGTGTGACGCTTAGGAAACATCCAGGACACCCGATTCCCTTTAGCAATATGACGATTCTTTCATGATGTAATATCCAGATATAGTTCTGCTAGTGTGTTAGGCACTTCAGTTTCCAGTTAGGCGTATATGCCTCAATATTCGACGGAGTAAGTTGGTCAGGTATGTATCCAATGCACGTAAAATTCCAGATCGCGTCCCATGCTCGAGAACCTACATTTAGGCTAGGGATGCAAACTTATGATGTATGTAAAATTACAGTTTTTACCTCGAGACCCTCGAGAGCATTCAAGGTAGGCTAAGGGTGTATGTTTTCGTTGTTGATAAAATTCTAGATTTCACCCCGATACTCGAGAGTATCCTAGGTAGGCTAGGGGTGTCACCTTAAGATGAAGAAAATTCATCTGATCACACCACTAAACTTATCTCAGTATGTTTTTGAGTGTATTTATATGCACATGTCTTCGTTTGTTAGCATGACCATTTAATGAATGCATGTAGTATACTAGGGGTATTGTGTGATGGGGGCTTGCGAACTCAGTGTTCAAAATGTGTTTTTGTTAGCAGGTTTCATGTTTCGTGGAGTGTGATAGGACAACAATATCATCGTAGGAATCTCAGCGGAGTACCAAAGTACAATGATGTCAGCTTAGTGGGCATGTGGAGGTCATGATTTGAAATGAACTAGCTTTTAAAATTTTAATTATTTATTTTATTTATCAAGTTTCTAAATTGGGGCCTCGATTTTTTTAAATTCTAATGATTTGACACTTTGTATAAATATTTTAAAGTGAGTATGGTTTTAAGGGAAAAAATTGGGTTAACCACTTCGGTGATCCTATGTGACATTTAAGTCCGTGGGATTTGGGTGTTACAATATCATTTTAAAAAATATTAATACTACAATAAAAAAGAATTGATATTCCATTGAATGTTTTTAATTTTAAGAATTTTTATAAAACATACTTTGAAGTTGAATTGTTTTAATATATTATAAACTACATTGATGGTCATTTATATTTTTGACTTGTTAGATTTTAATCACCGATTAAAAAAATATTTGATTTTAATCCCTTATATTATTGATTTAATACAATTTAATCCCTCGACCGTTAAGCCCCGTTATGTAATGAAAGTTTAACATAACATTTAAAAAATAAAATAAAAGACTCATAAGGATATTCACGCCAGCCTTAAATAAAGAAGTATAGACTTCTTTTAAAGAATGACTTAAAAGCCTTAAAAGAAGACGTTGACTACACCTGAACTCCCAACTTTATATATAGGGTAGATTACATCATTCCTCACTAAACTTTACTCTCTCTTATTTTTCTCACCTTACTTTCAATTTTTCTATTTTGCTTACTGAACTTTACATATTGAATCGTTTTGCTCACTTGTCGTTAACTCTCTAATGGTTTGATGATGATTTATTTTTTATTATTATTTAATCGTCAATTACACCATTCCTCATTAAACTTTACTCTCTCTCCTATTTTGCTCACCCAACTATAAAATGAAAATAGAAGGTGGTTGGATGTCATCGCTGGCCATCGTCGACCGCCGTTGATGGTGGTCGTTCGATATCAAAATTCATGGGTTGGTTTATCTCAACCCCCTGAGTTGAATCTAATGGCTGTTTCTCCAAAAAAATGTCTCAAAATTCATGAATCTCACCTGAAATATTTCAACTTCCTCACTTTTATTCTCCATTTATAGACTTCAGAGCAAGTTTTGATAAAATAGAGGTTGGATTCGGACTCAAGGTGTCGAGGTAAAGCGACCCATGAAATTTGGGATCGAACGACCACCATCTATAGCGGTTGTTGGCATCCGACCACCTTCTGTTTTTATTTTATAGTTGGGTGAGCAAAATATGAGATAGAGTAAAGTTCAATGAGGAACGGTGTAATTTACCCTTTATATTTTTAATTATTTATAATAAAATATGAAACATCATCACGTTGTTTAAAATTTAATGGCAGAGTGAGAAAAATGATTCAATTTGTAAAGTTTAGTGAGAAAAATTGAAACTACAGTGAGTAAAATAGGATAGAGAGTAAAGTTTAATGAGGAACAGTGTAATTAACCTTTATATATATGGTTGCCTTCTAATAAGCTTATTTTGCATGGACTACTCTCTACAAAGTGTATATGTCCATTCTTTCTTCTTCTAGCCACCCAAAGTTAGTTGAAAAGTTAAATCCTTTGCTGGATATACAAAGTAAACATTATGAATCCAAGGTTTTAATCTCAAGTAGGGGCGGAGCCAAGATTAGATATAGATAGGGATCAAAATATTAAATTTTTTAAGAAAAATAGAATGACTTACTAGGTATTTAAACTTACAATTCAGAAAACAATGTCAAATTTGTCTAATAATTAAATTTATAATGACCAAAATTGTTATTAGACCAAAAAATTGAGAACACTGAATTATCATTCCTTTTTTTGTATAACCTCTTGT